TTTAAAAACAAAAAAAAATTTTCAAAAAAAAAAAAAGAATTCTCGTAAACACCTCTTTTTGCTTCCTCCTTTTCTACTTTTTTTAAAAAAATTTTCTTTCCCCTCGGTTTTAAATCATCGATTTTTTTTTGCAAACTTGTTATCTTTTTTTTTAAAAAAAAAATAAGTTTGTAAACGAATCATAACAATAAAAATTTAAAAAATCGTTAAAATAAACAACTCGTAAGTATCCTTATTTCGTTTGTTCGTTTCTTTCTTCGAGGAAAAAAAAAGATAAATAAGTAAATTATATATTAGAATATTCTTCTTTTCCTTTTCCTTAAAAGATAAATTAATATTTATATTAAACCGCGCTCTTTTACCATTACAAAAATTATTTCTTTTCTCCTTTCAAACTTTCTTTCAATGACTTTGTAATATACTTTTTTATTTGTTATTCCTTTATATTCTCATTATCATTCTCTTCCTTCCCCACTTTCCTCCTCCTCCTCCCCCCTTGTTTAAATAATAACAAAAAAGAAAAAAGTTTTAATATTCTTCTTTCTTTCTTTCTTTCTTTTTTTCGTTGTTATTCCCGATCGACATAAAATTATGTCTCCTTATCATTAATATCATTCGATCTGCATTCTTTGTTTATCTTCCATGTGTTTAATACTCCCTGATTCATATTACTTGATCCTTTTTTCTTTTCAAAATTTTTCATGATTCATTTTTAACATGATATATGCTATGTTTAATTACAAATCGATCCGTCCGATCCGTTTTATTTTTTCTTTGATTTCATAATTTTTCTTTTTTTATTCTGTTTTTTTTTAAAAAAAATCAAATTAAAATATATATAATTATACAATTTACTGATGGATCGTTTTTTTAACCTTTTTTTTTTATTTATTTAATTTATATAAACTTTAGGATTAAACTTTTAGGATTAATAAATCAATCGGATCAAAACTCGGTTCTTAAAAAAAAATCTATATGGCACAACCATCAACTTTAAACATGTCATCAGCAAATTTTGGAATACCGACACCTCCCGCGAACGATACTTCGGATTCTAAAAATCCTTTTTTTCCTAATTCAGATTCCGGTATTAAAGAAAACGAAAAGAATTTAAATATTATTAATAATTCGAAAAATTCAAAAATCATTCCTACTTCCGTTTCTTCTATACATGATATCACTTCAGAAACTTCGAATCCATCTACCCCTGAACCTTATATTCAATCTCAATCAAAATGTCGTTTTTATATAACTGATCCTTCAATTGTTCCATTACTCGTCGCTCGTATAGCTGCTGATTCTAATAATATTAAATTACCGAATTCTTTATCATCATTTCATTCAAATAATAATAATTATGGTGATTTATCAATTTCATCAACTCCTTCAGTTTGTGATTCTGTATCTTCAGTTCCTGATCTTTCAGATTCTGCGTCTTCACCGATATCTCCTCCGGATGATGAATCTTCTGATTCGACCGCCTCTTCTTCTTCAACTGACCAATCATGCTCGATCTCGTGTTTGACGTCATCAAAAAGTACGTCATCCGCATCATCATCTAGTATTGCTATTACATCATATAGTAATAGAGTCTTACAAAAGATTTCCAGCACATCATCCAAGTCTATAAAATCAAAATCGGATCGATCGATCACCAATGATGAAAAGAAGAATGAAACCGGTTTAGGAAATTCTTCCATAGTTAATGCTATAGTTGCCGCTTCCGCAGCTCCAAGAACTGTACCTATTCCAAATCGTTCTGATAGAAGAAGTAAGCGTAAAGGAATTCCTTATAAATCTCCTAGTCATGAAGATTTGTTACGAGAACCTGGATTTGTATTTAGATTTCCAATCGTATTCGATAATGCTTTACCATCAAATCGTTCTAATAATGATAATGATGATGATAAAAATAAGGAGATTATTAATAATAATAATAATAATGTTGAGTCCAATAATATGAACAAAGATTCTTCACAATCCGTTATAAAGAATAAAGATAATAACAATAGTAATAATCAACAACAACAACAACAACAACAACAACATAATCATCATCATAATAATCATCATAATCATAACAAACCACAATTGGCAAAAATAATTCATCGTCCTTTATTATTACCAGATATTGTACGTAGGTTAACTCAAGCAAGGAAAAATAAGATGAGAACCAGACCCGTGACAAGAGCCAAAAATAAAAAAGAAAATCAAGAATTGGACATGTTCAAATTAGGATATGATCAAATGATCGACTCTCAAATTAATAATTCAACAGCGATTGAAGAAGCTAAAGCAAGAAAACGTCGTGTCGCTTCAGTCGGTCGACCTTCAAAAAAATTAATTTTACCATCATCTGGTTCTCAAGTTCCCAGATCATCAAATTCTGGTGAGAATAATAAGTCCCCTCGCGGTTCTTCTATTTGTTCTACTTCATCATCATCATCATCTGCTGTTGCAGCAGCAGCTGCTGCAGCTGCTGCATATTATCGTATGCAACCATCCAAACGTCGTGATTCTATGTCCGTATCCTCATCATTATCTATTCCACCATCAGAACTAAGCGACTTTGATCTTAATTCAGATAATTTTGGTGATGATGAAGACGATCCGGATTTCGCGCCTCCGGCAAAGAAACGTAGATCGGAGGTGCAAAGAGGATCAAAAACTGTTGGAAGAAAAGAATCTAACAGTAAGGTAAAAGTTTGTGCCAGTTGTAGAACCAAGAGCACTCCTTGCTGGCGTCCAGGTTGGAGTACAGATCTTATGCTATGCAATAGTTGCGGGTTACGGTTAGTATTAATATATTATTAATTATATATTTAAATTTGTGGTATGTTCTAATTAATTTTTCTTAATTTTATAGATATAAAAAGACCAAATGTGTTTGTGTTAATCCAGAGTGTAGATATATTCCACTCAAGTCCGAATACAATGCGATGTTTAAGAAACCAAAGAATGGCGATTCACCTGATCCGAAACGGTGTTGCAAGTGTCAAACACCTCTATGAATGAACTTTAAGTTGTTGGTTGGATCAATTTTTAAAAAAGAGAAAATTTATACATATATATTCTAAAAAAAAAAA